CCCTCGCCTGCGAATCGGCAGGTCGTCGGTTCGGGTCCTGACGGCGCCCGAATTATTTTTTTCCAAAATAACCTTGATTCCCAGGTCAACCCACTCTTGAGTGGGTACCTGGTGCAGTGCTGGGAAGTAAAGGCAGTCGGTGTGATGCTGACCACATCACCCACCACGTGGCGATTGGTCTATAAAAGATAGGTTTAGCCCTGTATGCCAAATACGCCTGAAGGCGTTGAAAAACATCCTTTACTTTCAGTTGCTTTTTTTTTTAACTCATCTTATTCTTCCCGCTATCTGAGCTAGCATACATTTTTGTTTTTAGAAAGTAAAAGTAACAGATCCGTTTCTCTCTGTAAGCGCACAAGGCAAATAGGGCTAGACTGTTGGTATATTCTTAGATCATTCGTTCTTCGATGGGTGATCTGCTTTACTTCATGCAGGCCGGCTTTACTTTTCATGACATTTTTCTAATACCCCTTCTAAGTTAGGTATACCAGAAAGCCCTTTAAAACATACAAATCCGCTTTGTGGATTCGAACTTAAGACTGTGACCGAAAGGCATCCTGTCATGTGTAGTTTCTTTTGAATTTAATTTGTGTGATTAGTTCTCTATCTTGTCAATTACTGGGAACAGAGGCGGTGCAATGGCGAGCTCGCTTGCATTTCGGACTTGTGGTTTTTCTTTCTAATTCCTATTCCTATTCAGGATTTTCTTTTATTCTGGTTCCCTTTGCTTTTCTTCTTGTTCTCCCCGTTTCTCTTGTTCTCCCTGTTTTCCCCCTGCTCTTCTTCTTGTTTTTTCCCCTGTTCTTCTTCTTGTTCTCTCCGTTCTTCTTCTTGTTCTCTCCGTTCTTCTTCTTGTTCTCTCCGTTCTTCTTCTTGTCTATGTTCTTCTTGTTCTCTCCCTTCTTCTTCTTGTTCTCTCCCTGTTTCTCTTCTTGCTTCCCCTGTTTTTCTTCTTGTTCCCCGTTTTTCTTTTTGTTCCCCTGTTTTTCTTCTTGTTTCCCTCCCCCCTGTTTTTCTCCTTGTTCTATCTGTTTTTCCTTTTGTTCCTCCTGTTATTTTTCTTGTTCCCCCTGTTCTTCTTATTATTTCTCTTCTTGTTATTCCCTCTGTTATTCTTCTTCTGCTCTCTGCTCTTCTTCTTCTTTTCTCTTACTTCTCAGTTCATCTCGTCTTTTCCTTTAATATTCTTTTTTTTTTCCATTTTCTTCTTCTTCCTCCTCTTGTCTACTTCTCACGCTGCTCTGTGATTCTTCATTCCACTCTCTTCTTCCTCTCGTCCTCAGCTTCTTCCTTTCTTCTTCTACCTCTTATCTTCTGCTTCTTCTAGTCGTGTTCTTCTTATTCTTTTTTATTTTCTTATTCTGTTCATCGTCTTCTTACCTAGTCTTCTTCTTTTTCTTCTTGCTCTTCTTCTTCTTCTTCTTCTTCTTCTTCTTCTTCTTCTTCTTCTTCTTCTTCTTCTTCTTCTTCTTCTTCTTCTTCTTGCTCTTCATCTTCTGGGCCGACAGACCCGACTTCTTCGGGTCCTTGTCTGGATTACCATTATCGCTGTTGGTATTCAAGAGGAAAATACTGGAGGAAAAAGCGGAGTTTAAATGTCACAGCATCAGCCGATTAGGAGTAAACACATTAGGAAATGAAAATTAATTCAAGAAATACGACTCAGTGGGTACTTCTCAATTTCTCAAGTTTAATATTACAATGACAAAAAAGGAACTAGGTAACATTACAGTTGGAGAAATATTACAATAGAATCAGTGTGGTCATATTTTCATAGTATATCAGCTTTATCACATGCTTGCCTGTAGGTAGTGTTGTAATCAGGGCGGTTTTCTTTTTCCCACTAGAACAGTGGTGACCAGCCTCATGCTGGGGGTAGAGGGGGTGCAAGGAGGTTCAGGGATTAGGGGTTAATTATGGGGGGGGGGGGGGGGCAAGTAATTTTAAAAGTAAATGCATCTGTACTTGTAATAAACCGCTAGACTAACATTTTGTTTTAATTTAAATATAAATATATTGTATTTAAAACTATTCATAAAACAAAACGACAAGGACATTTTTGTTTGCATTAGTCATTTTCACATCTACCGTTAGAAATATAATTAATATGGTAACACGCACATTTAATTATAGATTGAAAAAAAAAAATACATTCTGATCAAAACGTATCTCCATACTTTCTGTTTTTCCTAGTTGCGGAAACTGTTTCCATTTTCTAGTGATATTTTGTTATGTTAGGGGGTGGGGGGGGGGGGGGGGGGGGGGGGGGGGGGGGGGGGGTTGCCTTGAAATATACTCAAAAAGGAAGTGGGGGGATGGGCGGTGTAGGAGTTTAACCATATGCCAAAAGAGGTGTGCCTGGTGGGCTTGGGTATCTTACCATATATATATTCCTATGGGGGCATGGGGGTCTTGCCATATACTCAGAGTGGGCGTAGGGGTCTTGCCATATACTCAGAGTGGGCGTAGGGGTCTTGCCATATACTCAGAGTGGGCGTAGGGGTCTTGCCATATACTCAGAGTGGGCGTAGGGGTCTTGCCATATACTCAGAGTGGGCGTAGGGGTCTTGCCATATACTCAGAGTGGGCGTAGGGGTCTTGCCATATACTCAGAGTGGGCGTAGGGGTCTTGCCATACTCAAAAAAGGGGGGGGGGGCTGTTAGTCTTTCCATATCCACAAGGCGACGTGGGGGTCTTGCCATATTCCAAGTGGCGTGGGGGTCCTGTCATATACACAAGGGGACGTGGGGGTCTTGCCATATGCCAAGTGGCGTGGGAGTCCTGTCATATACACAAGAGGGCGTGGGGGTCTTGCCATATGGCAAGTGGCGTGGGGGTCCTGTCATATACACAAGAGGGCGTGGGGGTCTTGCCATATGGCAAGTGGCGTGGGGGTCCTGTCATATACACAAGAGGGCGTGGGGGTCTTGCCATATGGCAAGTGGCGTGGGGGTCCTGTCATATACACAAGGGGGCGTGAGGATCCTGCAATATATTCAAGACCGGAGGGATTAGGGGGGGGGGGGTGAAAACATGTTGGAGACCCCTGCTCTGGAAAAAGGCAGTGTCGGCACGCAACACAATGTACTTCAGCAAGCTACTGGCACTCAACACAATGTACTTCAGCAAGCTACTGGTACTCAACACAATGTACTTCAGCAAGCTACTGGTACTCAACACAATGTACTTCAGCAAGCTACTGGTACTCAACACAATGTACTTCAGCAAGCTACTGGCACTCAACACAATGTACTTCAGCAAGCTACTGGCACTCAACACAATGTACTTCAGCAAGCTACTGGCACTCAACACAATGTACTTCAGCAAGCTACCGGTACTCAACACAATGTACTTCAGCAAGCTACCGGTACTCAACACAATGTACTTCAGCAAGCTACCGGTACTCAACACAATGTACTTCAGCAAGCTACCTGCACTCCACACAATGTACTTCACCAAGCTACCTGCACGCAACACAATGTACTTCAGCAAGCTACCTGCACGCAACACAATGTACTCCACCAAGCTACCTGCTCGCAACACAATGTACTTCAGCAAGCTACCTGCACTCAACACAATGTACTTCACCAAGCTACCTGCACGCACGCATGTACACAAAGTACTGCACTCAACATAATGTACTTCAGCAAGCTACCTGCACTCAACACAATGTACTTCAGCAAGCTACCTGCACGCAACACAATGTACTTCAGCAAGCTACCTGCACGCAACACAATGTACTTCAGCAAGCTAACACAAGCTGTACTTACTTCAGCAAGCTACCTGCACGCAACACAATGTACTTCAGCAAGCTACCTGCACGCAACACAATGTACTTCAGCAAGCTACTGGTACTCAACACAATGTACTTCAGCAAGCTACTGGTACTCAACACAATGTACTTCAGCAAGCTACTGGTACTCAACACAATGTACTTCAGCAAACTACCGGCACTCAACACAATGTACTTTAGCAAGCTACTGGTACTCAACACAATGTACATCAGCAAGCTACCTGCACTCAACACAATGTACTTCAGCAAACTACCGGCACTCAACACAATGTACTTCAGCAAGCTACCGGTACTCAACACAATGTACTTCAGCAAACTACCGGCACTCAACACAATGTACTTCAGCAAACTACCGGCACTCAACACAATGTACTTCAGCAAGCTACAGGAACTCAACACAAGGAGTTTATTACAGAAAAAGTTAGTTGCGTACCCTTTGCATGACTTCGCAGAGCAAACACCAGCATGCGTGCATGTGCATGCGCACGTGTCTGTGTGTTAATTTACTAGGTAATTTTACGTTCAGTTGTTTGCCATTGCTCGCCGAACGGGTCGACTGTCGATGCCATGACAGTCTCACTGCCATACTGCCCGCAGCTGGGATCTAACTTGACAGCTTAGATAGAATTACGACAACAATGTCGTAGCAGTCAATTAGTTAGTCGTGTTTCCTTCCACGACAGAGTGCATCCGCCTGAGAGGCTAAGAACCAGTAGTTTGCGATAAAATAAGCGAGATCTGTGAAGCGGATAAGGTCGCAAAACACGTGGGGTTGGACTTCCAGTAATTTCCCCTGGTCTCTGGGTAGTGAGTTCGGACGCCCGTGTGCATTGTTGCCAGCGTAAAAAAAAAACCTAGGCAGCTGGAAATCGAAAAGAGTAGCCTAACGGCGCTGCCCGGGCAAAATTTTGCGTTGAAAAATCTACCCAAAATGTTTCAGGATCCTTACCGGTGCAACAGAGCCTGTGCACTGTGCTGAGCTTCTTCGGACTCAGACTTGAGTTAAAAGAAGAACAGAGCACTTATGTGTTACTACCTTTGTGTCATGATGTTGATCCGTTGTTCAAAACCTCAAACATATGATGAGGAAAGACACTTAAAAGTAAACGTGTTACTACTGGTAAACATGTAAACACAATTTTAAAGTAAACAATGTTAGCATTTTGTTGAGGAAATTGTTAATTGTCTAACGCTACTGTTTTCACATCACAAAACGGTAGGGTGCCTGAAGTGGTCTTCTGGTTTTACCAAGACGTAGGCCAGAGGTCTGTGAACGTCAGAAGCTGATGACATGTATGTGGGGGACATATAAGGGACCAAATACTGACCCAGTCCGGCTGCGGCCGCAGCTGCGTGAGCGTGAGCAGTAGGCGGGAGCGCTGAGAGCGACGGGTGATGGTGCCCGGTGAGGTACGGCGAGTAGAAGGAGTGAGCCAAGCTCTCTGAGTGCCGCAGAGCCGAGAGGGAGGATAAAGATGTGGCGGAGTCTAATTTAGCGTTGGCCACGGCTGCTGCAGCGGCTGCTGCCTCGAAATGAGGGTAGAGTCCGTATGTGGATGTTGGTGGAAGGAAGTGTGATCGAGCTTTGTCGAATGAAGAGGATGTCGATGCTGCGAGTAGCTCTGACTGGTGATGAGATGCCGCCAACGAAGCAAATGAGTGTGCCATAGAGCCCAGAGCGGATCCGTTCATCCCCGGTAGCATGGGGTGTAGTGGGAAGGAGTACTTGTCTTTCTTCATCAAAGACTTGGGTTTGCGTCTTGGCCTGTATTTGTAGTCAGGATGCTCTTTCATGTGCAGCGCCCGAAGCCTCTTAGCTTCATCTATAAAAGGCCGCTTCTCTTCCTCCGTTAGCAGCTTCCATTCAGCTCCCAGTCTTTTACTAATTTCAGAATTGTGCATTTTAGGGTTTTCTTGAGCCATTTTTCTTCTTTGGCCACGTGACCAAACCATGAAGGCGTTCATTGGTCGTTTGACATGGTCCATGTTGTTAGACGGGCTGTCATTGGGTGGTGAAGGGCTTAAGCTCCTCCCATTATCTGAATAAGGAGATGTCATTCTGTTAGAAGAAGGTGACGACTCCGATAAAGACTGTGGCGTCATGACGTTTTCCCTGGATCTTATAGTGTCGTCTACGACGATTGGATGTGAGTTCATTGTGTTATTGTTGTTTTATGAAAACTTTATCCAATCTTAGCTGGGCAAACCTGTGTGAGAGAAACAGATAAGATATGTATTAGTATTTTCATAAAATAGACAGCTTAAATAGCTAGAAGAAGAAAGGAGTTACATCTTTCTGTCCTAGTCAAAGTACGGTGTGTTAATAGCTATTAGCCGTGAATCCATGTGTATCACTGCATCATATAATTACGGTACTGCGTCCCAATTTCCGACGCAATTTTTATTGTTTCAAAGGCACACTCTGACTGTTGCCTGAAGCCCTAATAAAACCCAGCCTAACGGTTGTTAGGGGTTTTTAAGGGACATGTCCCTACAATTTTATAAAGCTTTCGTTAGGGGCAAAATGGAATACGGAAGCATAGTATACGAATCAGCATCAGAGAACAGCAAATGTAAACTTGATAGGATTCAGTGCCAAGCCCTGACTTCCATCATGGGCGCTGGCAAAGGGACATCGAGAGAGGCCATGGAGGTAGCACTAGGCATCACACCGCTTAACCTCAGAAGGAAACAACTAACTTATAGCTATTGGATGAAAGCGGCCAACGATGCCAGACACCCAGCTTCAGACGCTTTTCATCATAACATTACCCACCTAGGTGACAGACCGGTCAGAGACATACAGAGACCAGCAGCCTGGGACGCTGCACTAGAAATTAACGATGATGAGGACTTAGCTAGGACTCTAGAGGCAAGCGTTAGGTTTATCCCTCAAATCCCTCCATGGAGACTAGAGCTGCCAAGGACAGACATGAGTCTGATTAAAATTATTAATAAGAATACTGAAACATTTAAAGCCAAAGCAATAACAGAAGAGTACATAGACCAGATCCGATCAGACAATCTGGTTGCATACACTGACGGATCTAAGAATGAAGCAGGAGAAGTAGGAGCAGGAGTAATAATCCCACAGCGGAATATACAAAGAGAATATAAAATAACAGATCATGTAGCAGTATGCACAGCAGAACTAGTCGGCATAATGAAGGCACTAGAAATGGTAATTAATAAACCTCCAACTAAATTTACCATACTGACAGATTCATTATCCTCGGTGCAGGCGTTGAAAACACATAAAACTAACAGTAGACCAGATATTAAAGAGACAATCCTAAATCTAACAACTCAGCTCAAGAATAAAGGATGCCAAGTCACGATTGCACGGGTACCAGTACACAGAGGTGTAATAGGCAATGAAAAAGCTGACATAGCAGCCAAAAAGGGAGCAAAATGTGATGTTTTAATAGATGTAGGACTCGGAAAAACAGAAAGGACCAGCATAATCAAACGACATATAATTAAAATGTGGAAACTGCAATGGCAAGGGAGCAATAATGGCAGAGATGCCTACAATAACCTTAAAGAGCCCAGTCTTAACACACAGGTACGGGACAAGCTGAAAATTCCAGCCAACAAACTACTATGGAGAGCTAGATTAGGGTGGCACCCAGAGAAATTTACATCTCCACTATGTCTGGACTGCTTTCAAGATAATACTCTAGAGCATTATATAATAAACTGCACTAAATATAAATTGGAAAGGAAACCCATTGAGGAGTTTTTTCTAAAACGCAAACAACAAATTACCACAAACAAATGTTTAAATGTAGATAGCAATAAAGACATCCAAAAACTGGTTAAACAATACCTTATTAAAACAAATCAAAACTAAAAGATTAGGGATTTACTCAGTATAACAGAAGGAACTGATGAGATGGTAACCCCGGACATACTAGAGTCAGAAAGATAGTGTAAGTATGATGAGTGCATAGATGTGAACATGGACACATATACAAGGATGAGTGCGTGTAGTATGAGTGCATTTGTGTATAGGATGGATACATAAGACACAGTGTATGTAGGCGGATGGTACGGAATCACGAGTGGACGGAACAGTGGGAATATAGTTGTGCGAAAGGTACAGATGAATGAGTACATGGATTTAAATGTTACTGTATGCATGTATATGTGGGTATGAGTGTGCATGTGTGTATATATATATATATATATATGAGAGCGTGTATATTCATATATTTGTAAGTGTATGAATGACAGTGCAATCAAAGAAACCATAAACTGTGTTGCTGTATGTCTGTTCATTATTGAGAACAAATGGAATGAAGGGTGTAAGCAGCAAGAACGTCATCGCACACCATCCACCAAAACATGATACGTCAGTACCGGACAGGTCACATACCAGTAACGGGACATAGCTTAAAAGTGACACGACCAGACGAAATTACAGACAAAGCGACACAACACACATAAGACATGGAAGAGTGAATATCACTACGTGTGGATGTACTCGTTTTTTTATGAATGTAAGTACAGGCATTGGTAAACGCATATGAAAGAGTTTGCGTGTGTACGTAATGTCAATTAGGTATGCATATACCGATAAGTATGAAAGGAAGTACAAATATGTAGTGTTGTCTGCATGTATGAGTACTCGAGTGCATGTACGCATACACCTAGTTGGGTGCGTCCATATACTCCGGGGATTCATAAACAAAACCATCCCACTTCACAGCATACATACAACATGCACATGACCGACAGGACTCATAACAAAAATATGACTGAGAGCAAATAGGGAATACAAGTGACTCGATAATGACAGGACTAGAACGCATAACCTCTAATACCACCCCATCACTGGGATGATAGCAAAGGTTGGTAACGTGATACACATAGTCCCGGCAAAAAGCCACGCTAGAATCCAGCAAGACGGCAACGACGAGAATTGACTGAATGGCGTCCCGCTCCCCTTCCCCCCACCCTTCCCTAAATCTTTCGGATGCACTATGAGTTTAACCCCCCAACCCATTCCCACAGAGAGCACTTGAGTTCGTTGCCCAACATGCCACAACAATTCTCATCGCCGATCATTTGGATCTCAAAGCGTGAGCTGGACGGTCCGGTTATATGGTATTTACGTACACCGTAGCTTAGCTATCAACACAACCCGATCACATAATTACAAATGACGACTGGACCAGCTTAAGACTCCACACAAACTCTCACACACATATCCATTACATGACTAACCCGTTCATATTACAGGAAGACAACTATAAGGCCACTATGGTCACACGCGGAAAATTTTCACATTTCGGAACTATTTAATTTAAAAACTGTTTTCAGTACTTTTTGGCAAAATTAAAATACTAAAAATTTTAAAACAATAAATGGTGGCCGAAAGGTCGTTGTGTTTGGAAGCTCGCTCTCCTTCGAGATACGCCTAGCCAGATCAAAGGGAGACAGAACAAACAGGAAACACCAAGAATGAAGAAGGAAGACATGCACCAGTGACAACAGGACGAGCGGTTTGATACAGAGGGAAGCATTAAGCTAGAAATGGCACAAACACCAGTATTCAGTCACGAAAGTGACGCAAATAACCCAGACCACAAATATAGGCGGAGACTGTTAGCAGCCTAGGCTAGCTAGCAGCAGTCTGAACGTGGTCGAGCTTTTCTTTTTTTTTCCTTAAAAGGACTTGGACTTGGACTTGGGTTAATCCTCATCCGAATGATTTCACTTTGTGTTTTCGGGTGTTGAGTGTCAGTCCGTATCACTGCCCGTCGGATATTGTTACTTATTATTTCGTGTTGCCTTGCAGGCTAGGTCTCTTTAGACAAAGGCTGTTGGAGGCAAACCATATAAACACCGGCGGAAGAAAACGGGGAAACCACCGCTGTATTACCTCCTAGAAAACCATGCCTCAAAACATAACGAATTCAGATCGTAGATTGTGGAGAGGCATGATCTCCCCACGCCAGTCGACACGGCACCTGATGATGATGATGATGATAATTTTGCGCTTACTCTCTTTCTTCTTTCTTCTTCCTTAACTCATTTACTCCTTCATTCTCACTACTAAATTAACACAAGATTTTATAGAATTTGTAAAACCAACGAAGGTGGGAAATATTAAAAAACATCCCAGCCACCTGGATTGCTGATCAGACCCGCATCTTAAGGAAACATTCGCATATAAAGCAGATTCGCCCGTCCGTGACGTCAGACGTCACGTGTACCAAATCGGCATAATAGCCAGCGCTAACACTAGCCTCTTTAGATGACGAATCTTCACAAGCAACTGGCTGGGGAATTTGTGAGCTGGCGTTAATCTGTAATATCAACCTGGCTCGGATGTCCAAGAAGGCAAAACGTTTCTTCTTCTTATAGAGTCCATGCCGTGTGGCGTTGGTAGTCATGTGTATCCACAATCTTGTGGTCCGGGTTCACGCTCGGGGGTAGGCATAAAAGCCACATTTCTCCCAGGTTTGCGATATCCGTAGTATCGAACTGAAGGGTTTAACCCATAGTTTCTAAATAAAAAAAAATAAAAAAAAATCACCAATCTTCTGTCTCGTGTACTTTTAATCAAGTCTGAAACAGATAATCTTTTATGCCATAATGTTGAACTGTCCAGCATTTGTTCTCTCAGTCTTCCTCTGCCTCTCTTCCCCTCCAACTTTCCTACTGCCACGATGTACTCCAGTTTTCTCCTTCTCATCATATGACCAAAGAATGGAGATGTTGGCAATCAGTTCTCTTCGTGAGTCAGTTTCTTTCAAGACTTCTTCATTACTCTTTTTATCTGTCCAAGGTATTCCATCATTCGTCTATAAAATCAAACCATATCTATGCAGCTTAAAAAATGTTTTCACTAATTTACTACTTGTCCATGATTTACATCCATTTGTCAATATAAGGTTTTATTATAGCTTTTAAGAATTCGCTTTCTCGTCTCATTTGACAAAGAAAGATGCATACAATATTTATTTTGAAAAATGCTGCCTTTACTTGAGCTGTTCCACCTTTTACCACTCTAATTAATCTTCCACCTTGTACTAGATTAATCGAGAAACAGCAGATTAAGTGGTTTGGCCATCTTGTTAGAATGCAGCAAGATCAAATGCCATCACAAGCACTACATCTCAGAAGATCAGCTACAAGTGCAAGAGGAC